ATTTGTCAGTGTCTCGCAGATCAGTTATTGGCCTCAGCCTTCGGCTTAGGCTAATAATTGATCTGCTCGCCACACACAAATCACGATATTTTGCTCAACCTCGTCTAATAATTGTTAATTGTTACCATAGTACTCAGGTTGGCCCTTCTGTTTCCTTCCTGGTATTCATACTTGAAGGATTTATTTTGCCTTTCCACTCCATTGGTAGTACTCACAGAACAAAGCAGGTGATCCTTTTTTAATGCCCACACCCACTGCCAGTTAAGACAAAATGGGACAGAAAAATGTCTTCACATGAAATTATACCATGGCAATTTATACACTATGTGGTTTACATAGAAATGCAAAGATAATTTGTAAGCTTCCACCATTTAGTTCCCTTCTATTTATGTATTAGTCACTGAATACTTTGTATGAACATGTATTTCATTCAGCACGTACCACACACTAACATAATAAAAACGAATTGACAACCCTTTGTACACCATCGATATCTGTGCTGTTCAGAAATTATTTTGAATTGTAGCAGTACTGTTTTGGTAATTAAAGAAAACAGTTCTACCATACAATCACCTTTTATGAAACAGCAATAAAAAAACATGGTTTTTACTCCTTAGAAAGCAGAAATACGGGTCTTCTGTGCCCTCCATTTCATTCTGTAGGTACATAGTTACAAACACACCCTGTATAACTATATTTTTTGGATCTCCCTCCCCTCTAGGTCTCCCCTGCACCCCTTCACTAAAAATACTCTTTCTTATAACCACAGTTCATCTGAGGTGCCTCCCTGACTTAGGCCTTACCTTTTCAAACACCATGGCTGAAATACAAAACAAAGCAAGTTGTTGTTTTTAATCTGTGTTTGTGCAGTAGCTTCTCAGCTGATTTTACATTAAGCAGGAAACTAAATGTCTCAGAGATGTTTTTAGATAACATGTTCCAAGATACAAGAAGCTGATATCAAGGTAGAAGGAATCCTGAGAAAAATTGCTCTCTGAAAAATTTATTCGATTTAAATTTCCCACCTTTCTTGCTGTGTACTGACCGAGTTTGCACATCTGGACTGACTTCTGTTTCCCACCTCAGAAGTAAAGGTACTCTGACTTATGCATCCCCACAGGGGATAGATTAGCAGAACCCTACCTTGACTACTGTTAGTAGCTTTTGGAAAAGAATCCATGGTTGATAAAAAAGAAAGAGGAGTTGAAAACTGTCACTTACACTTTATTTTTTATTTGCATGACATTCATTTAGCTTTCATGCTGTTTATGCAGTTTTGCTGACAATGGCTGACAATTTCATGAATCTGATTGTGACACTTGGTCCCAGTCTCAAAACAAAGAAGGGCCTTCTTGTGTATCCTTGTCATGAAGTAGTGAATAATTGTTAATTAAAACTAGTTCCACCATAACAATAGCTCTTCTCAATCCTCTCAACCAGCATTCAATGTTTTATCTACCCCCCCTCAAAAGGTAACGTAACAAGGAGCAACATTTTGAACCCCTTGGATGCAAACTTTCAAGGTATCAACAACAATTTAATACTATCTTCCATGGGGGTTAGGGGATCCTAAACAAGGAATGTCCCAAATTATTTCAGATTTGTGATCTGAAGACTGCTCGTTTCTTTGCTAAGATGAGGTTTTAATTGTGGTGTATTTTGAAACAATAGCTCACTATAACTATCATAAAGGAAACTGTCAAACACTTGTAGCCATCAATATTGCTTTTCACCCTTCATACCCAAACATTAGTATGCATATTCTCTCTATTGTTCTCTATACATTTCCCAAGGTGCAGACAAGGACTTGTTACCCATCACTGTTCTCTATACATTTCCTAAGGTGCAGACAAGGAGAATTTGTTTACAAACAAGAGCTTCTTCGCTCCGGCGAAGGGCTAACGCTCAAAACGTCAGCTTTTGTAATCATTACGGTGGCCAATTTACCATTTCAACTTTGATGATACGTGTATATCCTAAAAGAGCTTCTTTAGTTTATGATCAATTCCTTCATTCTCATGACCTTGATGTGCAATTCAGTAGGGGTGATATCATTAGGAGAAAATAGATGCCAGTCACTTTATGGGGTCCTGGGGTTAAGACATTCATCTTGTGTCCTATTTTCAACCTGTTAAGAGTTGACTAACTAATTTCCCATGATTTAATTGTCCTATTTGAAATTAAATGTGAAATAAGTTAAAACTGTGTATCTAATATGTCAAATTGATAACAGAAAGTAATCAAGTCCATGTGAAGGCCTTAATTTATGGCCATAGGTGTAAAACCCACCAAAGATTGGCTTGAATTAATTAAAGCATAATCAGAGAACATAGGAGACTCTAAGCCACAGTTGAAATGTTGTTATTTCCTCAGTGTTACCTTGGGGATTATTTGACAAGATACTGCAAACTTTATCCATTAATGTTTAAAACAACAGACCAACATGTCCGTGATCATGTCCGAGTCCGCAGAGGTTGAAATTTCTCGCTGGAGTAAAAGCCTGGTTCACATATAATCACAGACGATTGCAGGCAATCGCATGATCCCTGAAATAACTCAACTGAAGATTGCGAATCGCATGTTCACATATGATCACAGCCAATCGCAGCGATCTGTGACAACCGAGTAGTTGGGTTAACATTCAGTGGCAATACAATGTAACTTCAGTCAACCAACATAAATGCAAAGGACACTGAACTTTTAATAGGTGTTAACATTCTGCTTCTGTTGTCTTTACTTAAACAGAGAATTGCTGCCAGATCAAAGAAGAAAGTTCACTTGTTGGTGCAGAAAGTCTTAATTAAGAAAGAGAGGATTCTTTGCTAAAGCGATTGAACAAACAATCATATTTTCTAATTTCTTCCTAAACTGCTCCGTGTCAATTTCACCTTCCATCTTGTCAAAACACACGCTCGTGTAAAAGTTGATAAACAACTGGTTGTCATGGTATCATGCCGCTTGCATAGCATTATTGGACACATTCCAATCGCATGATCGCAGAACTTTGTTCACATATGATCGCACTTGATCGCAGACGATCGCAACCGATTAAACAAATAGAACATGGTTCTATTCCTGCGATCGCGATCGCACTCGATCGCAGAGCTGTTCACATATAATCGCAGACGATCGCTGGTGATCGAGTGCGATCGTCTGCGATCATATGTCAACCCTGGTCAACCAGGCTGAAGTTTACGGAACAAAGTGACCCGAAAAAACAGTCTGTTAATTAACAGTGAGATTGTACCGAGTTAACAGATCACTTAGCAAGAACAAGGGAAAGATTTCCGTATAACCCCATACCAATAAAAAAAAAGCCGAAGTCCCAAAGGTAATCTGTTGTTTTGCCTTTGTTTTCTTTTGTCCAAGAATTGTATGCATAATGAAGTATGGGGTTATAAGCAAATCTTGCCAGAACAAGAAATCACGTGCCAAATCATCAAAGAGATCGTACTCGTAGATATTCTGAGGTTAAGTTTACCTTTGGGAAACCTCCATAACGTCGCCAAAGTGAAGCATGGCCAGCTTTTCAATGTTTTGCTGCATTTGTAACCTCTTTTCTTCCCTTTTTGGGCATGGAAATAAAGAAAAATTTGTTCTTAAAGGTTTTTTATATCAGAAACGAAGTATTCGTGGGTGATTTGTCTTAAAATATGTCTTTAACCTCCGCTATACTCGGTTCTCACCAGTAGCCATGTTGAAACGCACATACTCCCAGGCTCTTTGCGTCTCGTAGATAAAATTGGCGGGAAAATAGCAGCAGATAAGCGTAAGGGGCGGGAAATACAGAATTTGACTAAAATGGGGAAAGTTTAATCAAGAAAGAGAGGGTAAGAATAAAGTGACACAGGATCTAACCTTAGTGCTGGAATGCTTTCACAAAGATCAAATAAAAGGACACACTAATAAGAGGGGGATATTGTCGTTTATTGAATTTCTTTCTTCTTTTGTTCTATCCAGCAAGGTGTTTGAGCAATTTTTTTGGGATTAAGCAAGTGAAGGCCATAAAAAAAAGTGAAACAGGAGCTGTTTCTGAGAGGAAAAATTTAGGAACTGTAACAGAAAATTTTCTTAGTAACTTGAAAATAATATGACATGGACATACAGCAAGATGGAATCTATTTGTCAAGTGTAGATCACTGATCTGGTCACTGAAGTACAAAGTGGTACACAAGCAGCACATTGTAATGTCTTCTGTGATTCCCAGCTAAGCAGTAGATGTTGAATATTACATCATGATAATAAAGAAAATTATTATAAACTCGCTGAATAGGATGCAACTCTTTCAGCAGGAAAATTTTAATCAAGACATTTACAGTTCAAATCAAAACTTCAAGATCAAAGATTAAGATTCAAATCAAATAAAAAGGCATCTTCTGATTGAATGAAAAACAAGTGAGTTTCAGCTTTAAGTGTTAATCTTTTTAAATTTGCATCAACAGTGACTCAGTTTCTTTTTCTTCCTCATAAACTCCTCCCACTCCTTTAGCACAAAACTGCATTACTCTGAGCAAAGGGTTTCATCTCTTTAAAATGTTTTATAACGTGACCTTATTTTTTTCAATGGGAGGGTTCCTCACCCTATGCACATCTCTAGAATGTCAAGCATTCAAGGGTAACCTGTTAAAATTACAGCTACAGTAAAGTCTGATTTGGGATTGTTCAACAAAATGACAGATTGAGATCGAAAGGAAAGGAACTGGAACACCTTGAGTGGGCTAAAAGATAGAGTTAAGTATCTCTTTAGCCTAAAGTACCAGGAAGTATCTCAAAAAAAAAATCAATCAATTAATAAATGCTCTTAGGCCTTTAATAAAATGAAGTTTTTTATGTTTAACAGACAAATCTCTTGGCTCAGAAATAAGGGGCTTGTGTCTGAAGCTGGGTTTACGGTTTAGGGTTAATATCCCTTTAAAAAATTACCCCTTGACAAAGACATACACAAGTCAGGTAATCAGACCAGATATACCAACAAGCCTGAGAGATCACCAGCACATAACTCATACTCAGATGAAAATAATCTTTTCACAAGTTACAATTTAATAACACATTAGGAAAATCCATCATTTGATGACAATCTTATTCTCAACACAAGCCGGAGAGATCACAAGCACAAAACTCATAGTCAGATAAAAATAATATTTTCAAAAGTTACAATCTAATTACACATTAAGAAAATCCATCATTTGATGACATTCTAACATTCTCGACACAGACTTCACTTGCTTTCAAGGCATTATTTAACAATAATACACAATGTAAGCTGTAGCCTACACAACAGTCCCAATTAGTTGTCGTCTTTTCTTTCTTTTTTTAGTTCAAATATTTTGTTTGCAAACTCTACGGCCTCCTCTACACCTTCACATTTGCTCTTCCACAGTTCAGGAATCTCATTCATTCCCCAGTAAGCTCCACTGATTGCTCCTGCCATGCTAGCAATTGTGTCCGTATCGCCTCCCAAAGAGATGGCATAGTTAATTGATTCTTGAAATGACACTCTTCCCTTGTGAAGAAATGAAAAGATTGCAGCAGGAACTGCTTCCTCAGCTCTTATTCCATTTCCAAATGTTTCCACCACTGTCTCAGGTTTCAGTGTTTCACCCTTATTCAACAGTTCTTTCATTTCTTTTATTTTCTTGAAATAAGAAAAAGGTTTCTTTGGAGGTGAAGAAGTTGAAACGTGGCCACTAAAACAAAGAGGAAACAAATTAATAGACAAATGAATGAAAGAATACTACATACACAGCTGATCCCTATCACTACACATACAATTTATTAAGTATGTGGATTACCAACACACAGGGAACACCCTGTACCCCAAGCAATGATATACCTTCAACTATTTCAGTATTCTCATTGGCTGAGAGCAAGTTTATCTCATCCCAAGAAGTTACCATTGTGTGCATAAAGTACCTATTAGTTTAAAGTATTCAAATAACTTCATTGCAAAAAGTCGTCATCAGTCTTTTTCAGAAACTATGAATTGTACTTGCCCTAAATGTATCTACTTGTTTTCTTTGAAAAAAAAAATCCAAATTGTAACCATTCCAACAATTTTTATGACAAAAGTACATTTTAAAATTCAATTCATAAAAAAAAAAAAGAAAACTGTGGTCATTATTTTATTACCTATTTTCTTTTTCTTCACTACACGTAGATTCTTCATACTCTTGCTCAAGCTTTTTGGCCACTTCAAGGAGGTCATCAATAAATTTGTCTGTGTTCAAGTTTGGTGGTTCAAGGGGAAGAGATCTGAACACTGCCTCTGCTTGCAAGATTGCTCCATTGACTCCATTAATGTGTGCATGTGTGATTAGTGCATTCTCTTTAGCATTCTGTCAAGACAGAAGTAAAATTTAAAAGCTGTAAAGACTTCATAGAATTATCCCTTCTTTAAAACTATTTAAAAATAAGAAAAATAAAATGAAAATGACATGCATACTAAGTTCAATATTTGTACCTGCTGTGCATGCCATAACACTAGTTAAAAGTGGTAACAAATCAGGAACAAGGTGATGTTACCCTGGTGATGTCAGTGCTGGTTGTTCAAGGATTGGACTAACACCAACAGCTGAATAATTGCTATGTAGCGAATCATATTAAATCTCATTTATAAGTTCTAACTTTCAAATAACTTAAAAACTCAAGGGTAAGATTATTGTTTATCAAACAGCTTAGATTAATTCCCCTTGAGGTCAATTGCAGTCCATCTGATATTAGGAACATCTTTACGTTTATAATAATTGTATTTTTGTGCTTTAGATGTGGACAAGTATCACCAACAACATTAAGTCTGTAAACATTTTAAGAGCAGCATACCATCAAATGCTTTTTTTTAAAGCAATTCATGAACTCTGTCAAGTGCAAAAAGCAAGAGATCAAGAACACTTTATGTACAAGTACATGTACAAAGCATTGTTTAAGACAGCATAGCACATTTAGTCCTATGCTATCTGGGGAACTTAAGCACATTAACACTTTTGAGACACACATGGTCATGAGAACAACAATGGAACTACTTCTGGCACACTTTGACACCAGGCAATCACTTGCAAAGCCTTAGTTAAATGGTAAGGACAAAAGATCTATAAAGAGTGCCAGGAACAGTACTCTTAACTTCTGAGTGCAGTCCAAATCACAAAGGCCTTTATGATTAAGCTTCCTATTATGCTGGTTTTATTGATTTAAAACCTCACGATGAAAAAATGGTCATATACTGAAAAAGGTTTGATCAGTCTCAAATAAGTAGGGGTGGTCCAATGAAATGTTCCATGTATTTAGAGGTCCAGAGGGGTGGTCTATGGACCTGTGTCCTTGTTTTCTAGAAGTTCTGATCTGGAGGCCTTTCTTTAACAGCATTCAACCAGGCAGAAAAAATTGTTGTTCCATGTGTTAGTTGTTCTGACTGACTTGTAGGTAATGGTTTTAGAAAAACATGTTTGAGGGAAGCTTTCATGAACATTGGACATACGCCCAATGAGTGGCTTGTAATTAACCAATCAGGGGTTTGCCTCCAAATAAGGAGACAGGCTACCCATGGAAACACCCCCTTGGCTAGGGATTTTGACATGTAGGCACTGCCTCAGGATCAGAAATTTGACTTGGCTGCCATCTTGAAGACTACGTAAGTCATGATCTGCCATCTTGAAAGTGACCTGACAGTCACCCCATCTCGCAGAAAACCATTGATAGGCGCATAACAAGAGAGTTTATGATGGGGAATAAATTTGTTCTTCACCAACCAATGGGCCCACAAATAAGGGAAGAGAGGTTGTGAGGAGGGGGGGGAGGGGGGTAAGCTGTTTAAGAGTGGGGATTGGTAACCACAATTCTACAACAATTGTTAGCAAAGGCAATTGTTGTAGAACAATTGTTCAACAATTGTTCAACAGTTGTTAGCAGTATCCAGTGGGACCAGTGGATAATGGGTGGTGTTTTCTGGAAAACCACCAAAGAGGGGCTTCTCTTGCATCAAATCTAGGTCTCACCTTAACGAGGGGGGCTTTGGGATTTTTGGTTTTGTGGTTCTGACTGTTTTTGGATCGGTTTTTGGGCTAAAAAGGTTCAGTTTTTCGGTTTGATGTTTAGAGCGGTTTGCAGACTTTACTGTTTTTGCATTTGGTTTTCGGTTTTCACGAAAACTCTGATGTGGTTTTCGGTTTTTCCTTTTTGACCCCTTTAAAGATGAAAATGTAGCGGTTTTGTCAGGTTTGCATGCGGTTTTCGGTTATGCTGCCTTTTTTCGTCGGTGTTTTGGTTTTGGAGGTTTTTTTCTCCGGTTTTGCGGTTTCCCAGAGGCCCCAATGCCCCCCTCCTTAACCATTCCTCACCTTTTGAACTTCTGATGAACTAAGACTATAAAGGGCCACAGGGGAAATCCTCATGGCTGCACCGTTTCCATAGGAGCCTTGTCCATCAAATTGAGATCGAGCCGGAAGTGTAACATCTTCGGGATTCGTATCCCGCAAGCGCTGAAAGACTGTCCCGACAGCAGCACCGTAGCCACGATCGGGCTCTTTGTAGAATTCTTGAACAAACGCTTTCGCCATACTGCGGTTATCGTATTTCTTTTCTTCTGTTAACGACTTGCAGATCGCTCGAGTCATCGCCGTATCATCCGTGTAAGGGATCGGCTCCTTCTCGTCTTTGATTCTATTCAAAGTGTAATCAGTAACTTCTCCCCATAGTATAGTGCCTACAACGCCTTCATAGTTTGATCCAAGACAGTCACCAACCAAGGCACCAACGAGTGTTCCGCGGAACTTGTGCAACATTCTACTATATTTGCAAATCCTTTAATGCAAGGTATCTTTCACCAGAATTTAGCATATTTTTGTCAACATTTGCTTGATAAATAACAAACACCACTCGATGGAACATGCGGACGTTGGAACGCTTGAGTGTCTTAGTTCAGCGGTTTCCCAAAGCATCCCATCAGCCTTAGTAAGCAACAACATTTCCATCATGGCGGCAAAATTTGCTTTTCCTTTCACCAAAATTGTCTCCTCACCTCGACAGTTTGTGAAAAGCGTGCCGTTTATTACAGAGAAATTGTTTTTGAATTCTAGTAGAAACATATCTAGTTCCACTTTTTCATATTCCCTCTCAGAAACTGTAGAGAAAGTCAAGGAATCATTAGCTACGATTGCCAATAACAAGCTCCCAAGCAAAACCACCATTGTGTTTGTAGGAACAGGGCAATACTACGATCACAAGACCAACGAGAGAGTGGTTATAATATCTCTTGGAGAAAATGGAAACTTAGAGCTACCGATTGTCCTTCATGATACCTCCCTTCTTCGCGGTGAAGTTGATAAACTGGAGAAGGAACTGAACTCTTTATCAGATGTGGGTTGTGTTCATTCTGGCGAGTTAGATAGTGTACAAGACTCTCCATGGAAATTCGGATTTGCTTGTAAACCATCATTTTCCATCTTCTCGACCTCTGGCTTTTGCTGTCAATTTTGGCATTCGAAGATAGAAGGAAAGTGCTTTAGAATTTTTGATGAACATATGCATTTGCATGAAGATGTACCTCTTTCAGAAATAGAGCACATCCAAGTTGCACTATCCCCAGAACCATGGGAGGAGAGGAAACTGCAATTAAAAATGAAGAATGGAGATTTAGTCAGTGTTTTGGAAGACTCTGGAGAGAACATCTCCAATGAAAATGGTTTGGCTTCCCTTATGCTAACCACAGAATGGATGGTAAAGGCTGCTGGACATATGTGTATAACAGCCAGACAGTTTGGAGCCACCACAGTTTCTTTAAAACTTCCTTCTGTGCTGAGAGCTGAGGTCAATCCATGGGTGGCAATGAGAAACAAAATATGGGCAGAGAAAAACAGTGAGAGCTGAGGTCAATCCGTGGGTGGCAATGAGAAACAAGGTATGGGCAGAGAAAAACAGCGAGAACTGAGAACAGGAGGAATGGGCTCTGTGGGCAGGAGGAATGGGTTCTGTGGGCACACTCAGGTGGGATTCAGTTGTTATACCACCAATGGGTAAATATACAGGTACATCCACACCACTTTGAAGCTTTTTTTTCCTAAGATCTCATAAATTATTCTTCTTGCTGTCCTTTATACATTCTTAGGATGTTGATTCTGATAATTTGGGTCATCCTCGGTGTAAAAACCTGACGAGGTTTTCTTTGTTTCATGAGGTATTGTTTTTGTGTATGCTATTGTTTATAATGTTTTGTTGTCTTTGTTTTACATCACTCATGAGCTTCACAGGTTTTTACACTGAGAATGAGCTAATAATTTGGTATTGGATCAACTACATAGTAATAATCCTCCATTGATATTTTTCTTTTATCTCATCACTTGTTAGCATGATTTTGTAGAAGAAATTTAGTCTTGGTCACTTGTGTGAGTGAAAGGGTTAAGAGCATTTCCAAGAAATACTCTGATATATGGCTAGATTTATTTCTGTTATTTCTTCCATTACCATTTGTGATCAGATGACTATACAGAGATCAGAGAACCCTCTCAAATATGCTTCTCTTCCAATAAATTGTGGGTCCTCACAACTCAGTTGATAGCTGGGGGACACAATCAATCAATCAATCAATCAATCAATCAATCAATCAAGCTTTATTAATGGTATCACTTCATGAAAAATTAAAAGTGCTCTTCCAGTGGGCCATTTACATAACAAAAATTTTCAAAGAAACTACATTAATGCTAAAATATTTCTATATAATATTAAGAAAATCTGTCCTATAATTAATTACACAAGAATCAATCAACCTTAACCCATTGACACCTGAACCGCCCGTAACCGCCCGTGCGTAACAACCCTAACTTTCCCTGAACCGCCCGTAACCGCCCGTGAAAAATGGGGATCGTATTACAATCTCACCCCACTCTCCCCTAGTGGCTCTTTGTGTTTTGTTGCCATAGTGACTTAGGAGGATAATTATCCAATCATTTGGCCTCCTTTGCGCAGATGTTGACAGCTGATTAGCCGTGCCACGAGATCGGGAAATTTAAAATTTTCACAGTGAAGCGCGTGCGGTCGACAATGGCTGACGAGATTCAATTAGAGCCCGGAGTCGCGGCACTTTTCGAAGACTCAGGGGATGAAGGAAGCTTTGATGGATTGGATGAGCTAGATAGGAATAGGTTAAATTTAAGTAATGATTCGGATTTAGATTTAGATGGTTTAGAGGCTGAAGACGATGACACAGATGCTGAAGAAGAAGAAGCTCGCTGGACTGACCAGCTCGACGACATCCAAGTTCCCCAGTTCGTGGCCTCTACAGGCATTAATGTAGTATTAAATTATCCTAATGAACTAGATACTTTTTTAACTTTCATCGGTAATGATTTATGGGATAAAATAGTCGAGGAAAGTAATCGTTATGAGCACCAACAGTTAGGTGATCGATTTGAAAGTTTTCGTGCCATAACGCCTGCAGAAATGAAGGCATTCATCGGAATAATTATAATTATGGGTATTGTTAAGCTTCCTAATTATGCTTTTTTCTGGTCAACCGATGAATTTCTAGGAAATCCAGGCATTAAGAAGGTAATGGCTAAGAATAGGTTTGAGGAATTAAGTTGCTATTTACATTTTAACGATTCAAGTAAGGAGCCCGCTAGGGGCGACAGAGATTACGATCGCCTTTTCAAAGTTCGACCCGTTTTGGATTACGTTCGCAATAAATGCGGGGGGAATTTTCTGCCCACTAAGAATATTTCCGTAGATGAGGGTATGATTGGGTTCCGGGGGAGGTTATCTTTCAAACAGTATATGCCAGCTAAGCCCACTAAGTATGGTATTAAAGTTTGGATGGCCGCCGATTCTAGTAATGGCTACGTACTAAATTTTGATGTTTACTTAGGTAAAGAACCAAACCAGTGGCCAAGAATTTACGGCTTAGGGTACGACGTGGTGACTAGTATGATTAGGCCTTACATGAATAAGAACCACCACGTTTTTTTTGACAACTTTTTCAGCTCAGTTAAGTTATTAGAACATTTAGCAAGTAATGATACTTACGCTTGTGCCACCGTAAGATGTAATCGTAAGGACTTGCCTCCCTGTGCCAAAGATAAGTTGCGTCCCGGGCAGAAATTAGTTCGCCAAAAGGGTAATGTAGTTTTCACCAAGTGGCACGATAAGAGAGACGTTAGCGTAATTTCCTCTAACCTTAGTCCTCTAGCCGTAGATTTAGTGGTAAGTAGGCGTAATCAGCAGGTTTCTAAGCCCGCTGTAGTTGATCTTTACAATAAGCACATGGGAGGCGTAGATCTTGCAGATCAGTTGCGTAACTATTACTCGATAGGTCGTTCTTGTAATAAGTGGTATAGGTATTTAATTTGGTTTTTATTTGATATTTCAATTTGCAATTCTTTCCTTCTATACAACCACTATAGGCGAGAACATGGGGAGGGTAAAGTTAAACAGGTTAATTTTAGGATGAATCTCGCTAAGCAGTTGATCGGGGGGTTTTCTTCTACAGTTTCCACAGGTAATTCAGTTAAGCGCCGTAAGATTGAGAATTTGTCTCGAGAGCTAGGAAACGTAGGATCTCATTTCATAGTTAAGATTGAAGGTAGGAAGAAGGTTTGCGTTCGTTCCAGCAAGTTAGGTATTAAGACAGTGTCGGGTCGATCAGTAGAGACCACTTTTCAGTGCTTACAATGCAGCGTAGCTCTTTGTAAGACTTGCTTTCAGGATTTCCATAGTTGAATTAGTGCTTGAACCTTCCTTCATGTCCTGAGTCATTTTCCACCGGATTAGTGCCCGACGAGAAGAGAAAAAAAACAACCACGAGAGGATAAGTATAATTAAGTATTTGGTTCTTGTTTTGGCCTTTTTTATCCTTGATTGGCCGTTTGATTGGTTCCGATTTTGCCTCGATCTTTTTATGGCTTTCATGTTTATTGCGGAGCGTACTTTAAATTTTAGCTAAATGTTTGTTTCGCTGCAAGTTTGGATTTTTTTTTCTGTTTTGGCCATTCAATTGGTTTGGTTTCCATTGGCAGATGTTTTACAAAGTTTGGCTGCTGATTTTAATTCAATAAATCTTGATTGGAAATCCGATCGCTGTTGTCTGATGTTTTGTTTTTCTGTTTCAGTTAGTGTTAGTGCGCCCCACTGGGTTTTCTTTGCCGTTTACAATTTGTTATTTCGCACGGGTGTATTTTTCGCTTCTCCTGCCTTTAACAGCTTTCAGACGTTCTAACCTGAAAGAAACTGGAATGGTTATCAAAGAATTATAATAAAAATGATTTATTCCGACCGAACTACACATTCTCGACCTCTTATCTTTTGACAACATCTCACTTTCGCAACGCGTTCAGAAATCTCATTTTCGAAAATCGTCGCGCGGCGAACGGATAATTTGAAATTTTATTTTCTCCATGAATTAAAGGGCACTTTAGTAGCTCTTTTTCCGAATATTTTGGTATATTCCTGACAATAAATTATTTCCCTTTCCGTTGGCCACAACTTCGAAATCTGATCTCCCATTGATCTCTACTGCGCATATATGTTTAATTTAGCGCTCTCGTAACGCAATCACAAGTGGGGAAATCCCTAAGAATGATTGGCATTGTCACGTGCGAGGTGTCAAGGGTCAATGGGTTAAGGTACATTAAATAACTAAAGTAAATTCAATCTCAACTCCCTCAAGGCAATCCATGGTTCAAGAAGACATGGCAGACTTGAAAGAGTTGAGATTTATTTCATCTACACAAGTAGGGATGAGATGATAATCAGGGTGTTAAAGAAAAGGGCACTTGTACTCCAATGATTGCTAATACATGTTGACTGAAAGTTCTCATCGAGAAGGAAAGTGCTATATAAATTAATTGTTAGTTGGGTGAACTGTTAAAAACATTACAGTGACAACTTCAGAGGGTAGTTTTTGAATGAACTCTTTTTTGATATTACAACAACAGCAAGCTACAGGACTTTAGTTATGAAATTGTGACTCTACATATATACAGCTTGAATTTTTTTCTTAAAGGGCATGCTCTAATTGGTTACTTTGAGGTTACATGACATCTATAACAATTAAACTGTTTTAAGTCAAAAGTCTGGTGGTGGAGAACAATGTAAAATCTTTGATGGCAGGGGGGTACAGGGCCCTGTAATCAGCGACTGTTGGTTGTTGACCATCATTATATGTGAATAAAGCATGATTTAATGGTGGCATGGGATTTATGCATTATTGGCCAAGGATGAGGTCAAGATGGTTGGGTATTGGTCAATTTTTTTATGTGGTGTTTCTATGGACCAAGATGAAGTGGAGGTCTAAAAAAATGCAAAAAATAAAGAATGAGGCTGATATCCAGCCATCTTGGCTGAAAAAGCATGGTTTAAAAAGGGGTTGGAACTTTGCAAAAATATTTTGCTTTGATAATAGTCAATAATGACTTGTTTATTTTTTAGTTTGGAAAAGAAAGTCAACTGTGATTTTGTGTATGTTGTTTTTTTCTTTAGCAGAATCACAGCAGGCACAGGTCTTTCACCAATTACTCAAACTATTGTTCGAATCCCGCTCAGGTCTGAATTGTTTTCAGGTCTTAATTTCACTATTGCTTAAAAAGTGCTCCTCACTGCGAAGATTGTTCTCTTATGCATTACTCAAACTATGTATATGACAAAATTTGAGAAACCAACTGGTTATTGCTTATTATGATTTCATAACAAATAACAATTTATTCTGCAAAGTGCACAATGACAGCAGCAAAGTGCACAGTAACATGGGCAAAGTGCACAATAACATGGGCAAAGTGCACAATAACATGGGCAAAGTGCACAATAAATAACATGGGCAAAGAGCACAATAACGTGGGCAAATTGCACAATAACATGGGCAAAGTGCACAATAACATGGGCAAAGTGCACAATAACATGGGCAAAGTGCACAATAACATGGGCAAAGTGCACAATAATAGCAGCAAAGTGCACAATAACATCTTGTGACTTTTACTGTCCAATTACAAGCATGACTATTGGTTCTCAAATTGCACTGGTAATAACCAATCATGTTCATGAATTTGTTATAGTTTTGATTAATGCATGTAGTGAAGGCTGGGCCATCCTGTTTAATATGTAGATTTGAGTGGCTTGACTTGTCTAGTGTGATTCTCCTCAAATTGGCCTAACACTGAAAGAAAAAATGAGACAATGGACAGTAAAAAGCAGTCTTTGCTGTAGTTTGTAATCAGTGGATAGTAAGTTAATGTCCTCTTTTTCCACATGGCCATCATTGTTACTAAGGCTGTGCTATAAGAAAAATTGGATGGAGCCCAGTGCTCTGAAACTGTGAAATCCAGGGTGCCCAGCATATGCTTTGTAGGCAAAAACTAAAATTTTCAAGTCACCCAAGAGCAAAAGTAAGGCGCCAGGTGCCACTGAGCGCTGCTAGAGCACAGCCTTGGTTACATGTTTGTATGTGTTTGTACTACAGGGAAATAACTGTGATAACAAAGACAGGAAATACATGTGGATGTAACTTTTGAAGGAAGCTGTGTGATCAATATCACAACTTTTCTTGCTGGAGATACTGAGTGAGTCATTTCTGAGACTTTACCTTATTTTATCTGAAATAAAATTATGCTTTGGTTATCCCATAAACTGTAGTTTATGTTCCACATCCACATTCAACCCTTTAACTCCCATGAGTGACCGAGAAAGAAATTCTCATTACAACATCAGTACAAGTGTTGAGAATAAAGAAAACCATCAACAAGGGTATTTTTAGTTGATCCAATACCAAATTCTCCAAACTTACATGATAAGAGTTGTATGGCAGACAGTAAGGAGAATTTGTAAGATCTTGGGAGTGACAGGGTTAAGACTAAAATCAGACTCTGAATCTTTTCCCTTGTTATCACAAGAGGTTTCTAAGTTTGGTTGGTTTTAAAAAATGGAACTCATCCTTGTAACTGCTATCCTGAATATTTCCTGATTTTTATTGCAATATGCATCTTCAGTTAATAATATCTATGGAAAGTTGCCATTTGAGTTGAGGTAAAGTTTTACCACATTTATACTTTACACGCCTGTACACAGTTGTACAGAAAGACCAACACTTTCAAGAGAGGAAGATAATTGAAATAGATGTAAGAAATGTTTATTATGTTTATGATATATTTATTGTACCTCCAATCAGTTGATTTTACAAATAATATATAGTGAATATACAAATATATTAGGTATGTAAACTCCTTTAAACAACACTTTCAGTAGCTTGCTAGCAGTTGCTATTTTTAGATTACTGTAAAATGACAATTTAAGCTAAGAATAAACTTTTCTATTTTATTGATAGACATGAATTTTGGTATCAAAACAGCATTGAATTACAACTTCATTTTGTTAAACATATGTAAACAGTTTAAAGAGTTCATTATTGCCTGTCATCACCTTTTTTAAAAGTTACAGGAATAAGCAAAAGGTTTCATTTGTGCTTGGGCTTCAATTTTGCTAGTTAGGGGTAAGCAATATATCTGTGTATGACTTTAAACAACAACTTACCATCTACAAGTAAAATTGTAGTAGTAAAGCAAACTTAAAACAGATAGTAGATTAGCTCCTCCTGGTGAATGAAAATTCTTGTTAGTAATGGTGAGGAAATTCTGTAGAGTTCATAAATCAGTCCTCGATATGTGCAATTTTCTCTGGTATGAGATAGTACCCACTGCAACATTCCTGCGTAAGTCACCTAGTATTAATCTGAATTTCCTCATGCATACCAGTTTCAAGTACTGATATGACTTTTCATGAACATCCATCATTCAAAATGATAAAAAATAAATTGAATTTGACTGTGGCATGTGCAAAGAGATGTTCTTTGTTAACTGTTCCACTCTTGGAGCAAGTGTTAGTCTTGTAAAACAACTCAGGACATGCACTTGAATAAAATTGCTTTCAATTGCTCTCAAATGCACCATTCCTACTCTTAACCCTTTTAACATTAGCAACAAAAAAAAACTAATTCTTTCTTAAGAAGTCAATACTTTTCCAAGCAGAAAGGCAGTGAGAAGAAAGGAATACACGAACTTTGGGAAACTGGTTGATTTAACAATAAATTCGTGCCACTAAAATCATATAAAATGTGCAACAAACAATGTAGATCTTGGGAGTGAAATAATTAGATCTTGGGAGTGAAAGAGTCAATTTAAAGTTTTTTATGTCTATTATTAGAATATATTTTCATCTGTGTTCTTTCATCTGTTTTTTTGCTTTGATACAAAGTGGTATGGCTTTGGAGTAATCTAGACAACTGAATTGAAACACTGCTGTTCCTTCAGCTCCTTCGATTGAATTAGTTAGTTAGCTTGCGGTCTATTTTTAATATTCATAAGCTAATCTTGTACCCTCGTGTCTGTATTGTTCTCCTGTTCTTTTTTTTTTTTTTTTTCTTTTTGTTCGGGGCGGGGGAGTTTCCTGCGGGGACATTTGGATAATTAAGTGTTACCCTTGAAAGAACGATGAATGGTATTCACTCACGTCCAAAAATTTAATTATGTAATAATAATAATAATTTAATAACTTCTTGAGCGCTATTTTCATACAATGATCAACAGCGCTTAACAACTTAGAATACTACATTAAATTCAAATTTATAAAACTAATTAAATGTACATTAATATTAACAATGTATGTTAAAATAAGAATAATATGGAATATCCATAATTAATTAGGAATAAGGATCTTAATAAAGAACTTAATTAGTAATACTAATAAAAGTAATTGTCAGACAGGGTACTTTGAGAAAGCTGCACGAAATAAATAAGTTTTCAGCTTACATTTAAAAATGGAAAATGATTGAATATCACGTAATTCAGCTGGCAGAGCATTCCATAAGTACGGGGCAGCAGCAGTATATCTAGGAAGTGAAGTCAGCCACTGACTTTCAGTTAGCATTTTTGTTAACATCTTTCCTTGTTATATACGGTAAGAAAAATGAGAATCAGAAGGAGAGGAGGTGTAAAAAACTTGATGAAAATCATGAGACCTTTGTGAAACGGTGGAATGTGGTACAACACATTTTCGTTTAATTTTGGAACAAAATTAGAATAGAGATTGGGAGGTGAAGTTCTGTTCTCTTCTGATCAAATTTTTTCTGAGAGAAGATCACTCATATTCAGACGTTATTCTTATTCTTAAAATAATTATCAGAGTTTGAAGAGGTGTTCTCAATTTTCATAGTCTGTGGCATTTATTTTGAAAGTAGATAACGGAATAGACCTCTCGCGCGTGTCTTCCTTAATATCGTGTTAATGACCTTTCTGAAATCTTGAAATAGGTATGACTGCATGTGCGTACACGAAACAGTCCTCGGAGTTTATCATGAACTAGAGTAAAACTAAACGTCCATACAGACAGCGTTTGTATATTTTCAGCACAACAAGACTTTAGGAGAGTATATTAGAGGGGAACATCTATGGGTGATAAGGTTTTACTTCTTTTTTCTAAAAGAAGTAATACTATCTGTTAAAAATATTTGAAAAAGAGTGATACAGGTGTCTTTTTAGTTTCCGTTCTTAACCGTCATCGTTACATTTAAGACCCAATTATCCAATATTTGCACTTTTCTCAACTTGCTCTTTCTATTTCCTTTCAACAATTCAAGAGGTGGAGGGATGACTTCCCAGATCAATTTAACAGCATTCCCTTGGTCTCCCCAACTATCAATCAATGAATGAACCGTCAGTGCCCATTTAGACTCGTGTCGCCGTTAAATACGACTGCACAAGATAAACTTAGTCGTACGGTCGTCTGGCAAAGGTTATGGTGCTAGATTTGGCACGGCTTTGCGATTGCTTTTTTTTTCTCTTTCCGGTGCTCTTAAATCCTTTTACTTACCACTGATAATAATCACTTGTTTGATCATTCTCCTGCATAAAAACAGCAATTAAGAACTATAGTGGGAGTATTTTTTCCTTTTACTTTTAACAGTGTTATTCTTAACCTCGGCAGTAATCGAAGTTCTGAGCCCCTCTTATCGCAAATGTTCTTAAACTTTTGGTGAATTTGGTCCCCCCTTTTATTCTCCTTTTATTTCCCCTTTTTACCCCTTTGCGTTTTTGTTTTTGACTTTTGGTCCTCGTGTGATTCCTTCACGCCCAAATAACACAGCTTTCCTATCCTTGGAGATTCAGTTATAAACCGTTTTTTCAATGTTTGTAATTGATTTATTATGTATACAGTTTTGCGGGATGTTTCTGTTGATAGGGCCGTCGTTTATTAGCTAATGGAATTACACTCGCCAGCGGCTAAAGGCGTCTATCTATCTGTCTGTCTGTCTGTCTGTCAGCAGTAGATCGTGTATTCCTCGCAGCCTTAATTTCCATGCGCGAAGCTTCCTAACTCGTTTTACTCGCGTTGTGTGTGAAGAATTGCCACAGTTGCCTTTTGCTGCCCATATCCCCAGTGAGCTTTATCGAATGAGCACGTCTCACCGTTCTTAGTTGAAAACTAGCTTAGGCAGTATTCACTTTCTACCACAAAACCGGTGACCCTCGTGATCAACTTTACTCACGTTCTAGCACACTCGTTACGTTTTTAATTTCGTAATGCGTTTAATGGATCATTAATCCTTTTAATCACCAATTACTGTTCGTTTGATGGTTACCACAGCCTGTCTGCAATAGCCGTGACAATGCCTCTTGACGACCTTGTTTAATTCATAAATGAGCCAGAACGACCCGTGTGGTTAAAAATGTTCCCTAATGAGTAGTTCGAGACTCGTCTAAGTTATTCTTTTGGTATGTCCCACGCACTCCTTCGCTGAAACGGAACAAAGTCAATCGGACGCGTTCCACGTATGTGCGAAGCGTACATCTACCCACGTTTTATTCTAGCGCTGTATCGGATATGGATGTTCGTTTGACAAAGGTGTTGAAAAATCTAGTATGTGACAAAATTAATTCGCACCTCCACTGAGTTCGAACCATGAAATGTTGGGGATTACATCATGGTGTTGCTCAATTTTCGTGGGAGGTCAACTGAGTCAGGGAAGCAGGAATTTGAGTGGGTCGAGTCATGGGTTAAAAACAGAAATGTATAAAAATTTGTATAAATGTATAAAAAAAGGAACTTTTACGAAATAAGGTAAACTAGAGGAAGTGAGAACGTTTGCTTTAAAAGCACGTGGCTGAGGTTTCAACTGTTAAAGTCGGTGATTTTTTATAGCATTTATTGGTCCAACGTGCGCAACTAAGCTTTCCTTTTTCTTCTAGTTTTTTTTTTTCCATGATTTACGTAGCAACTGTTTTTTTTTTTTTTGCGCATTGAACAGTAGCGTTTGACACGTTTTCTTCTCAGGGACCATCATATTGCTCTCACAGTTTACAGTTGTCATATCAATTGACGCAAGACCAACACGGAATCTTTTTAAGCTGAAACGCTCGGTATTTAGTTGGCATTTTAGAAACGTGTGTTTTGACATACTAACAATAAAGTTTGCATCATACTGACTGAGCAGAGCTTACCGCTTTGAAAGGTTTCATTTGTATTTTGCCATTCTTGACGTCATATTGTAGTATCTCAACGCTACAGTACAAGTCTCAGTGATCGCCCGAGGGTAATAGGGAAACATTTCCGTTCGTAGAAATGACACAGATTTCGTGACTTTATCCCTTTTTTCGATTTTCAGTGTCGTTTACTTCGGCTAAAAAACACTGGTATTTTTGAGAACGTGAGAGGAACAATTCTTTTTTTAAGTCTTTGGTTCCTCATCCTTTGGATAAAGAAGTGGTTTGATATTGAAAACATATTGAGGAAGAAAC